TGGTGTGTGTGTGTGTGTGTGTGTGTGTGTGTGTGTGTGTGTGTGTGGTGTGTGCCTCAGCTGTCCTGTCTCTTTCCCTGTGTGCCCTCACCCCCCAAGGGACCAGAGATTTCCCATTTGCACTCTGGGAATAGGAATGTTATAAATGGAGGACCTTTTAAGATGAAATTTCTATCATATACTAGGTTCTAAAAATCTTTTAATGAAAAGATGTCATACCTACTTGGTGGTACAAGCCTGTTCTTTGGCACTTGGGAACTTGGGAGGTGGAGGCAGGAGGATCAGGAGTTCAAGGTCATTCTCAGCAACATCATGAATTTAAAGTCAGCATGGGCTACTGAGACTTCTGTCTCAAAAAGCAAACAAAACAAAACAAACAAACAAAAATGGAGAGCTAGCTCATCAGTTAATGGGACTTGACCCAAGTCAGTTTCCAGCACCTATGGCTCCCAGCAATCTGTAACTCCTGCTCTAGGGCTTTGGAGTCCCTCTTCTGGCTTCTCTGGGCACCTGCACTTGCATGCACATTACCCCGCCCCATACACGTGACTAAAAATAAAATCTTAAAACAACAACAACAACAACAAAAAAACCCCTTACCTGTGTTCTAAGGGCCTAAGTACTCCACGCCCTCCCAACCAGATCTCAGGTGATTTTCACTGTGAAAGGCACCGGCTGTGAGCTGTGCATCCTTTCTTAGCTTAGAGAAGGCTAAGAATTCTTGGTTGAAGTACATTTAGTTTGGATGGAACTTCATAAAACATACACATGAGGGGCGGGGTAAGAGTCAGCATGCATGCCACACTGTGATCCAAGTTTCTATGCTGTTGTGTTGACTAAGGCTCGGGTTGATTGTGCCTAACAGTGGTGTGTGTGTGTGTGTGTGTGTGTGTCTGTGCGCGTGCTTGTGCATGCATATGTGAGTAGGCATATTTGTGTATGTGTACACATATTTGTGTGGGTGTATACACATGTGTCTGAGTGCATTTGGCAGCCTTAGGTTGATACCGGGACTATGACTTGGTCACTTTGAACCCCAGACAAGGACATTGAACTGAACTAGGAAGGGATGATGGCTCTTCCACCTTCCTCGTTGAGGCAGTCCCTCAGTCAAATCTGGAGCTCACTGATAGGGCTCGTCTTGCTTTGTGGATTCCATCTCTGCTTTCCAGGGCTGGAATTACAAGCGGGACGTCACTCCCAGCCGGCGGTTCCGTGGGTTTCTGGGATGTGAACTCCAGTTCCCCCGCTTGCACCTCCCCAGCGTGTGAAGGTTTTGTCCTGGTGCTCTGCTCTCCTGTCTCTCAAGGGCACCGGGTGGGGCCTGATGCTGTGGTGCCCGTGACAGGATCTGGGGAGGAGACCCCCCCCCCCTGCGCCTTGCCTGTGGTCACCCCCGTCAGCAGTCTCTGCCTCTCTTGCAGCCTGTCTACTTCCACACGACCTTGAACCACCCGAACGTCGTGGCTGTGGTTGAAGTGGTCGCTGAGGGCAGGAAGAGGGACGGCACCCTGCAGGTGCTGTCCTGTGGGTTTGGAATAATTCGAATCTTTGGTAATAAGCCGGAATCTCCCACCTCTGCTGCCCAGGACAAACGGTACCTTCTGTGTTTTCTTTCTTTTCTTCTCTCTCTCTTTTTAAAGATTTAATTATTTTTATTTTATGTGTATGGGTGTTTCTTTTGCAAGAATGTCTGTACAACACGTGTGTGTCTGGTGCTAATTTCAAGTTAACCAAAGAGTTGCTCTTTTCTGTGGAAAGAGAACCAGTTTTGGGTGAGTGTCAGGTCGGATACGGTTTGTACATAGGCCCAGGCCCTGACCTGAGCCTGTTGTGTGTGGGATTTGCGGCTGCCCACCCACTCATCCCTGCACGAGGCAGCCGTGTGACATTGACTTTGTGGTAGTCATCCCTCAGCAGGTGACAGTCGAGTGCCTGCCACGCACCAGGCTGTTTAGAACTGGATGCACCGAGACAGATAAGCTCCGTGCCATCCTTCCAACCAGGGTTCCAGTTCACACTGCACCTCTAGATCTGAGTTTCTCAGTGTTGGAGCTGCTCACTCAGGCCTGGTCGTTCTTTGTTGTGGAGCCATCCTGTGCACCGTGGGATTCTTGGCAGTGCCCCTGGCCTCCACCAGCAGATGCCAGGAGTAGTCTCTGCCCAGTGTGTTAACCAGATATACCCTGCAAACATTGCCAGACACGTGCATGGGAATGCCATGCCTGGGTGAAAACATGGCTCCAGTAAGGGGCCTGGATAATGTCTTCCTGGGGCTTCTCAGGCTGTTTCTGTTGCTTTCTAGCTTAAAGTTATAATAATAATAATACTTATTATTATTATTATTATTATTACTATTATTATTATTTGTGTGTGTATGTGTGTGCGTGTGTGCCTGCCATGTATGTGCACCCTTGGAGGTCAGAAGAGGGTGTCAGATCCCTTGGATCTAGAGGTTACAGGTGGTTGTGAGCCTTCTGACATGGGTGCTGGGAACTGAACCCTGCTTCTGTGGAAGAGCAGCCAGCACTGTTAACTGTCTATCCATAGACCACAGCTTCTTGCTTCTTGGGCTGCAGGTCTGTGGGGCATGTTTATCACAACATGGCGGGCTGGCGCTGCCCTCAGCCACCATGCTTTTGCAGCAGATATGACCAGGAACATTTAATAGGCTCTGGCAGGTGGGTTCCCAGGAACTGTCCTGGTCATGAGATATGGGCAGTTGACACGGTTTCCTGCTTCTGTCTTTCAGGTTGAGGCTGTATCATGGCACCCCCAGAGCCCTTCTGCATCCGCTCCTCCAGGATCCCATAGAACGTAAGAGCCTAGCCTGGTCTTGGCATGTATCTGGAGCTCCTGACTTTCCTGAGAGCTTTCCACCTCGCCCTCTCTGGTTGTCTCTCTGCGGTGGTTCTGGTCCCTGTGTCACAGGCTTGGCGTTGGTTCTGTAATGGACGGAGGAGGAACCTGCCTCTGCCTCTGCCTTGCACACCTGTGCCTGCCTCTTGTGGGGCTGCTGCCTGTAGGGCTGTGGCTCAGGAAGTCAGCTTGTGCATCTTCCTGTCTCCCAGCCACGCGTGGAAACTGCACAGCTTATTTTCTGGCTGGAGAGACTGACTTTGTCAGAGTAAGACTTCACTATTGCAGACCTGCCTGGGCATGGTGGCGTCTTGGCCACTTGGGAGGTTGAGGCGCGGGGGATCTCTTAGTTCTTGGGTCAGCTTGCGCAATACAGACAGTGAACCTGTCTCAGAAAACGCATACTTGGTCCCTGGAACCCGGGTAATAAAGCTGGCACAGTGGCGCCCACTCATAATTCCAGCAACAGTGAGAAGGGAGATGAAGACAGGAAGATCTCTGGAAGCTCATTGGCCAGCCAGCCTAACCTACTTGGTGAAAATCTAGTCCAAGAGAGATCCTGTCTGAAACACAAAGTGGAAGGAACCTGAGGAATGTGGTTGATATATTGTGCACCCCAATAAACTTATCTGGGGGTCAGATAGCAGAACAGTCATAATATTAAACATAGAGGTTAGGCAGTGGTAGCACACGCCTTTAATCCTAGTATTCCAGAGGCAGAGATCCGTCTGGATCTCTGTGAGTTCAAAGCCACACTGGAAACAGCCAGGCATGGTGACTCACGCCTTTTATCTCAGGAAGTGATGGCAGGAAGCAGAAAGGTACTTAAGGTGTGAGGACCAAGAGCTTTTAGGCTTTTGAGCAGCAATTCAGCTGAGATCCATTTGGATGAGGACTCAGAGGCATCCAGTCTGAGGAAACAGGATCAGCTGAGGAACTGGCAAGGTGAGGTGGCTGTGGCTTGTTCTGCTTCTCTGATCTTCCAGCATTCACCCAATACCTGGCTTCAGGTTTGATTTTATTAATAAGACCTTTTAAGATTCGTGCTACAGAGGAACAGCACCCAAGGTGTCCTGAACTTTACGCACGCACGCACGCACGCACGCACGCACGCACGCACGCACGCACACATGCACACATGCACGCATGCACCCAGAATACAAACAAAGCCAAGAAACAAGATTCTGTCTTTTCAGTTTCAACAGGGAGAATGTGGCTTGGTTCTTTTTGCCTTTATTTCATTTTTGTTTCTTTGAGACAAGCTGTGCTGGGTGTAGCCAGGTCTAGCCTGGAACTCACATTCCTCCTGCGTGTGATTCCCCAGTGCTGAAGACAGATGTGTGCTACATGCCTGACATTATTCCCTAGGAAAACAAGCCATCCATCTACTCGTGGCATTTGTTCTAAATTTCTGGGTTTTAGCTCTTTGACTGGAAATACTCTCGGTTTAGTCCATGTCTGGTGCTCCTCCCCCAGAGAGCAAGCACATGACACTGATGGAGAACTGTAGCCTCCAGTACACCCTGAAGCCACACCCACCCCTGGAGCCTGCCTTCCACCTGCTTCCCGAGAATCTCCTGGTGTCTGGTCTCCAGCAGATCCCTGGCCTCCTTCCTCCTCACGGGGACACGGGTAAGCTGCCCTTGGACCTCGCCACTGTGAGTCTGGGTGAGCTCAGGCTCAGACCTCGGCTCACCCTGACAGGTGAAGGTGGCTCTGCTGCCCACATGTCCCTCAGTGGCTCAGCAGTGTGGCCTGTGGTGTGGTGGGAGAGGAGGTGACAGTGACATCCACCACTCAGCCCATTTTGAAGAGTGTCATAGCCTCCAGCCTGCTCCCCATCTTTCCCTGAACCCGTCACTGGGTCCCATCCCTCCTGGGTCCCAGTATCGGGCATTGCCGTTGTTACTTCTTGGTTGTCCTGAAATACACATAGCAAAGCTTACCACCAAAGCATTTTTAAGTGGGTTGTTAGGGCCATTAAGCATCCTTACATTGTTAAGATTGGAAGTTACACCAACAATCCTCATGTAGTAAATTCGGGAAAGACTAAACATTCTTCTGTCTACACTTGACGCTGCAGAGAAAGCCACTGCCAGTAGCGTTGTGTTCCTGGGACTCTGGTCTCTTTCTGTGCGTTCTCTTCAGTACATGAGTGAAGGTGCTCTCCTTCCAGCCTTGGCCCCTGGAAGGTGGGGGAACAGCTTGATCGCAAAGCCAACCTTGAGACTCAGGAACTTTACTCCAGGGCCTGCACGGTCACAAGACACGGCCCAGAGATGGTTGCTACCCAGGTTCCCAAACCTGCCCAGCCTCCTTAGTCCCCTATGATCTGTTCTAGAAGGTTCTACCCCCCTCCCAAACCCCGTCACTGTGGCTTTTGTGCTTGGGTTCATCTTCCTCGCCTCTGTGCCGAGCAGGGTCATGGTTATGGTCGTGGTCCTGGGCCCTGGATGGGGTGTCCAGCCCAGGCCCCTTCCAGGAGTGCCAGGCTCTGCCACCCTCCCAGCTCCTGACCGGCTCCTTGCCCTCTGTGTTGCTGCCATGTAGGGCTGGGTGTGTGTCACTAGGATGACCCCTCCAGGGTCACCGGTTGTCACCCACCCTTGCCTTGGCTGTGTTGTCTAAGCAGCATGCAGTGAGGTCACACTGCAGATTTGTTCTCAGGATGGGCTCCAGCCATAGCGAGTGTGGGTCTCTCTTCTGTCACACCCGTGCTGTGACAGCACCCATTCACGACAAGGTTGTTGGCTTGCTCAGCTCTGGAGGGCGTTCCTTGCTGACAGTGTCCCTGCTCTCCGGTCCCTGTGTACCAAACACCCGATCACTGAAATGGCTGTTCAGCCCTCAAGCTGTGGCTCACAGTGTTTCCCATCATTCCTGGGTGTGTGCTGTACACACAGCGAAGGTTCTCAGGTAAGGTGGTGCAGGAGGCACTTCCTTCTTCCCTCAGGACTTCGTCAAGACCACCAGCCATCGGGGGTGGCATCTCTTGGTAGACTGGCCTCTGGTGAGCCACCGGAGATGTCTGAGCCCTGTAATCTCTTTTGCCGAATGATGGTAGTCCTCTGGGATAGGCCGTTTTGATCTTTGTCAGGTGTCCTTCCGGGGAGCAGAGGTGGGGTGTGAGCTGAGAGGACATTCACAGTGGGTCCCTGGAGTGGCCTGCACAGGGGGACCTTCTGTGGGAACTGCTGTGTGTTTGTGTTTAGGGGGACGCGGCTTGCTCACGCACAGTTACAGAGCTGAACTCCTGAGAACAGGAGGAGCTGGCCCAGGGCCACAGGGAGAGTCAGGGTCTGTTCCGAGCTTGGTTCCCGAGCCCTCCCTTATTTCAGTCACAATCCTAAAAAGTTCCCTGCTCCTGTAAACAGGCGGAGGCTTTGGTCAGACCCAGCCCTTCTCCTGTGGGCTGGCCTGCTCTCAGTACAGGCCTTCGGGTGGTTTGGCCGAGGGTTGTGAAAGGCTCCTTACTGGGCTCTGTGCTGTTAAGCTCTGGCAGCTGGGGCCTCTGTTTCCCGCACCTGGCCTCTCCCAGGCCCTTGCCTGTCTGTGCTGCTGGACATCAGGGTGCAGCCTCTGGCGAGGCGCGCTCTTACCTTGTCCACATCCTGTCTCCCTTGTAGCCTGCCGGAGCTTGATTTCTCTTCCGGCTGTGGATCCTGAGCAGTCCGTCCTTCTCCTCCATGGCCTTCCCCTGTTGGACTGGAGCCTGTGCAGGGCCAGGCTGGCTGCTTGTCTTTCATTATTGTGCCTGGTTGTTGAACATTGGCATGCCCCATGGTGTAGAGCCGACCCACCCTCTGCCCAAGGCAGTGTAAGCCCTGTGAGGGCAGGGAGGATGCGGGGTTCCCCTTCCTGTGTCTGTATAAGCAGATAATGCAGGCGCAGAGTCAGGTCAGCACTGTGAGAAGACAGACATGCCACCATTGCCCTCAGCGGGGTGGCGGCCCGAGGTGTCCCAGTGACAGGGACAGTACATGACAGGAGCTGCTGAGTGTCGAGGAGGGGGGACTCAGTCCAGAAGGAGTCGGTGTCGTCTTTCACCAGACACACAACCCAGACTGTCACCTGTCCCGACCATGAGTCCTTCCTGTCTGTAGTGGAGTCGTCTGTGGCCTGCTCTGTGATCAGCGTCTGAGTGGCGCACTGCTTGCCAGCGCGTGGTGAGGACGCAGTCCTGAAGAAATGCTGAGGTGGCTCGGGCCCCGCTTTCCTGCCTGCGCCTCTGTGGTGGACATAACAGATCACTTTGCAGAACACAGCAGTCTGCTTAGTGGAGAGGAGAGAGCGGGAGTCGCAGAAAGGAGGGCCGTTACACCTCTCGATTTCCTCTTTTCCGGCTCGGAGTGACCTGAGTGCTGGACATGCCTCAGGGACCTCTGCCCACCACGGGGGCCCTGTGGCCTCCTTGCCTCATCTTCCCAGAGGCTTTATACGGAGCAGCCACACGGCCGCCTTTCCATCTGTTGTCAGGGCAGCAGGGTCCTCCGGCTAGGGCACCACCTACCACTCAGGGGACCTACTGAGGGCAATGATTCTCCCCCTGCCTTCTGGCTGCAGCTTAGAGAGGTCCCCAAGTCAGGATGGCACCAGATGCTCACCCAGACATTGCCGGGTTTGCCTATACAGATGAGGCACTAGATTTGATCCCCATCAAAACAAATATGCATACTTACACATGTACAGATACATGCACACACGAGTACACACATGCAGTGTACCCATGTGCACACAAGCATGTGAATGCATCTTTATCAACACTTTTCTTTACAAGGTTCAGTGCTATCAGACACACTCATGTCGCTGTCTCCGAAGACCTTGGTGCAGCCTGATGGCAGCTTACCCCACACCTCTGACCCTCCATCTGGAGGCCACAGTGCTCTTCTGATGGCTTCCTCAGCACTAAGTGTTAGCTTGGCTCTTTCTACCTCTCCCCTCCATCCATCCCTCCTCCCTCTCTTCCTCTTCCCTCTCTTCCTCCTCCCTCTCTTCCTCCTCTCCGTTCCTGCCAAAAGGAGGGAGTCTAGGCTGGCCTTAGCCTCCTTCCCTAGGCTTCCACACAGGATGTACCACCGCACCCAGCCACCTGTCCTTTTTGTCTTTGGAGCTGGGTCCTAAAACCCCCACAGCCTTCTGTCTAAGTGTGTAAGTGATCACAGAAAGCGCAGGAAGAGGTGGAGATGAGAGCAGATGGGGACACAGCGTTACAGCACAGGTTCCACAGGGTCGTGAAAAGTGGTTGGCTGCTTGTGGGGTCCTGGGGAAGACCTCCCTAACATGCCAGGATCCTGCCCTCAGCGTGGACACCGAGCATGCCCCCAGCTACCCTCATCTTCCCTGTCCCCAGGCAGCCCCAGGAGGTGCTTCTGGGTCAGAGAGGAGGGGTTTTTTTGTGGTACCAGCTGGCATGCTTCTTCCGGTGTCTGTAGCATGCACATTCCTGCATGCTTCAGATGGTTTAGGGTAGGTCAGTAGCGTGAGAAGCAGTCGATCTGGCGTGGTCCTGCTGAAGCTGCAGGTGATAAAGCTGGAGCCTGCAGATGCTGGGTGAGCTTGGCTCAGCCCGCCTCGCCCTGCAGAGGTTCTGGTGCGCTGTCTGAGCAGCGCTCTTGCCTGCAGGTCCTGATCACTGTGCCTGAGACTGGTGGGAACATGGCGTGTGGCCTCGCCTGCTCCCCCCGAGGACAACATGATCCCTCTTCCCATCCAGGTGATGTCCTGAGGAAGCCTCGCTTCCAGAAGCCCACCACATGGCACCTGGATGACCTCTTCTTCACCCTGTACCCCTCACTGGAGAAGTTTGAGGAGGAACTTCTGGAACTGCTCATCAGCGACCACTTCCGGGAGGTACTCATGTCTCATCCTGCTGCAGCTTAACCTGAACAGAGACGGTGCCACCTGCGGCAGGGCAGGGACAGCCAGCATCTGGTGTCGCTGGGCGTGGGGGTTCGTCCTGGGAGATGAGGTCCTGACTTTGCCCCTTTTTTCCCGGGCTGAAGAGGGCACTTCTTTCTCTGGATTGCCAGATAAAGTGGGTCTAGGAGGTGCCATTTTCCTAGGCTGCACCTTGAGCTGACCCTCCGGTCTGTAGACGGTGCTGACAGCTTGCAACACTGATGTTCATTTGCAGAGATTGTGAAATAGTTTTCATCTAAAGTAAATTACCTCACCACATGAGGGAAACATAGGAAATACTCTGCAGCTAGCAAGGACCTCTGAGGCCAGGTGGCTTATTTGAGGAGGTGACTGGAGGTGGCCCCTCATGGTGGTTTCTGTCAGTGCTGTGCTCTCATGAGACACTCTGAGCCCTGCCTAACTGTGTGACACAGCCATATGAACTCGCCCCCCCACCCCCACCCCCTGCCTCTGTTGGGAGCATGTGGCTGTTCCTGTCTGTTGCTTCTGAAAACATGGGTTTTTTTGTTCAGGTGCTTGGATGGGGCATTTGGGGGATCATCTCGGGCAGGGGCGTTGAAGTGGCCATCATGAGGGCAGTGCATGGAGCTCACATGTTGGCCTCACCCACTTCCTGCTGTGTCCCTCCCATCCAGGCCCCAGCTTGTCACCACCCTTACATGTGCCTCTGGACAGTGTCATCCATCTTTTCCTCTGTGTTGGTTCCTCTTGCCTGTGGCTCTGTGGTGCCGTCTGTCCGTCAGCAGTTGGTGTGGCTCCTTTGCTGACACTGCTCTGTGTCCCTCAGTGTGAGTGTCCTGCAGTGTATCTGTCTGTCCTGATGGATGTATGGGCCTTGTTGACCTGTTGGGGACATTCTGTTCGTATCTGGGCAGTGACACAGCGGGATCTTGAGTGGGAAGAAGACCTGCAGGTTACAGGCGGTTATCAGGGGCTAGCTGGTAGTGACGCTCTTAGGTCATAGCCTTTGCCCTGCACGTGAAGTCCCCTCCACGGTGACCATGGACCTGGCTTTGGGTAGTGGGCAGTAGCAGGTTTGATGCACACAGAGGCTTAAGCACTTGTAATTCCTCAGGTGCAGATGCTCCTGAGCGTGAGGCTTGTGGAGCTGACATTGCTGTGACCAGCCTGGGCTAACTCTCCTAGATTGTCTAGCATGGAGGTTGCTGAGTGTGATGCCAGGGTAGAGGTGGTGCTGGGCAGAGCCTGCTTGCTCTACCCAAATTCCAGAGGCTGGACCCAGTCTTGGCGCTAGGTCTGGAAAGCTGTGGTGTTCCGGTGGCACCTTCCTTGGTTGGTGGCTGTGGATGTGTCTGTGGCTTTTGTTGTGGGATGTGGTGGACTGACCCTCCAAAGGGGTGCCCTTTGCTATGTTCTCAGGGATCCCGTGGAAAATCTTTGTTTGCTCTGGTCCAGGTGGTCTTTCAGAAGCAGGACTCTAGCTGGCTCTGCTCCTGTTTCTGACCCTCTGTGGGCTCTCGCTTCTCATGAGCAGAGGTCCAGACTCATCATCCTATGGATTTCCTTTCACCTTCTACCCTCTCTCTGAGCCACCTCTTTGGGCTGCCTCATGGGCTTCTTGGCCCACCCTGGGCCTCTGGACATGTGCTCACACCCTGGGCTTCCTTCCTGCAGGTCAAGGTCAGGCCTCTCCAGAAATCACAGCTCCACTCTCTCTCCTGTCCGCTTCCCAGGGCACCTGGCCCTCTTCTCTGTCTGGGGATGTTCTCCGCCCCTCTTGGGAGCGTATGCCCCATGAGGATGGGCTGTGTGTTCACTGTGCCATGCAATGTGTGTTAACTGTGTCTGACAAACTGTTCAGGTGGTGACTCATTGGTTCCCATTGGGTCTGGATGAGGCCTTTTGACTCTCCAGCAGGTAAGCGAGAGGGCTGAGTGCGCACGCATGCACACACACACACACACACACACACACACACACACACACACACACACACGGCTCAGGCAGGACCCACTTCCTCCGTGCGGTTCTGATGCCTTCCTGACCGCACAGCAGGTGGAGGGAGTCCAGGCAGAAGAACAGCTCCGTCAGGCTGGACAGTCTCACAGACACTGGGGAGGGACTTTACCGCCTTGGTGTCTTCCTGTCCACGTAGCTCCACTGTTTCGTTTTTGTTAACCGAAGACTAGCAGGCCGAGATTTGGCCCATTCAGCTCGATTAAATGGGCAGTGAAAACAAGAAAGTTCAAGGTCAAGGAGTAAAGATGATGTAATTTCATAAACACCGAAGTCAGGAGGGACGCCTGTCCGTTTGCAAGGGTGCCGTGCGTTTCTCCCTGAGCCGGGAGGGACGCCTGTCGGTTTGTTAGGGTGCCGTGTGTTTCTTACTAGGATGGAGGTCTGTGGTGTCCAGCCATGGCTTTGGGGCAGACTCCATTTCTATCAGCTTGTGACTTGTTGCCTGGGCCTGCATCCTCTTCCCACCCTGCTTCCTCCCGAAGGACAGAGTGGAACCCGGGTGTGTTCCTCCCCTGCGTCCCTCTGCACCATTGGGGTGCTCATCTCAGGGAGGCGGCTCCCAGGAGGACCTGAGGTTCGTGCGTACGAGGTGGCTGCGTCCTGAGAATTGTCCGCTCAGCTGTCTGTGTTTTGGTGTGTGCTGCCTGGGAAGGTCACGCTGCTGGGAAATACCTAACGTACCTCGTGTGCCCGTGGCCTGTGGTCATCCCTGTGTCCTGCGTCTGCCCTTTGAGTGGGTTCATTTACACTCAGTGTCGCTCCTCCGCCGTGTCCACCCAGCCTTCTCTGGCCACTCCCTTCCCAGCCACGCAGGATTCATGCTCTGTACCCCGTGTCTCTCGCAGGGGGTCAGCCTGCTGGATGGCAGCACCCTGGAGGTCCTGGAGAGGCGCCTGCATGTCTGCGTCCACAACGGCCTGGGCTTCGTGAACAGGCCACAGGTGGCTGTGCTTGTACCCGAGATGGACGTGGCCTTGACGCGCTCAGCGAGCTTCAGCAGGAGAGTCAGCAGCTCTTCTAAGAACAGGTATCTCCCCGTGCCAAGGGGGCTGAGGTGAGGTGAGGACGTGGAGCATGCGCTGTGGCCTTGCTCTGCGGGTGCCTCTCCATCACACTTATCAGGCAAAGCCCCAGGGTTGTACACTTGGGAAAAGCCCCTGTTTTTGCTGTGACAACTTTGGGCTAGTGCTTTAGACGCTCCCAAAGAGCCTCTTGCACACCACCTGGATGGGCCTCACGTCCTGCTCTGTGTTGAATCCCATGTGCCAGGCCCCATGCAGACATCACTGTGGGATGTGCAGAGAGGTCAGCTGTCACACACGAGCTCAGTGCTGGCCGGCCCCTCCCTCGCCTCTGTGCCGCTCTGAGTGACTTGACTGTCCCCTGCAGGCCACCTCTGGAGGTGTCGCCAGTGGTGACCAGAGTGAGCACTGTGGGCTGCAAAGAGTGGACCCACTGTGTCCCGGAGCCCCTGGACGGCCCCTGCTCACGTGGGGAGGGGCACAGGTGGGGACCCGTGCCCCAGCACCTCCGGGTTTGTGTTTCCGACCAGCTCCGGAAACCAGGCTCTGGTTTTGAGAAGCCACCTGCGCCTCCCGGAGATGGTCTGTCACCCAGCATTTGCCATCGTCTTCCAGCTGGAGTACGCGTTCAGCAGTCCTTCAGGAGCGGATGGCAGTGTGAGTGTCCTTTGTGTATCGGCTTTCAGGGGTCAGCTTTGTGCTGAGGGGGGCCTGGCGGGCACCGGTGTCTCTTCTGCAGTAAAAGTCTGGGTAACCACACGGCCGGTGGTGCTAGGAAGCAGCCTCGCATCATCCTCGTGGGGACCGGGTGTTCTGTGATGGCAGGACGTGGCCCAGGAGGCTTCATGCATCATAACAGCTTTAATTCATAATTATTGAACCGGTAATTATTTTGAAAAATGAAGCCACTTTACTATGTTTTTCATTTGCTACTAAGTGTAGTAAAGTTCGAATCTGCATGAGTGATAAACGGCTTTTTATAGTGAGCTTTGCGTGCATCTACATCATAATTAAGATAAGAATTTATAGTTTTGGTTGAGAGGTGCAGTGGGTAGACAGCTCCCATGTGGACACAGATTCTCTGGGAAACGGATCATGCTGTTCTTCAGATGCAGTTTCTGTTTGGAAAAGGCCGGGTCATCTGACAGCTAATGCAGTGGAACACTGACGGGACATGGCGGCAAGGGCCTCATTGCTGGCCGGTTTTCAGAAGAAGGGAGTTGAGCCCGGGGCAGGGAGGGGGTTGGAGCCCACCTGCCCACTGTGCCCTTGATCTTTCCTGCTGCCGAGCTGACTCCCACGTCTTCTGCTCACACCAGGCCTTCCTGGGGCTGATCTTAAGTCTTGGCCACTTTAGTGACCAGTTTGGCGTCTGCTGCCCTGTTTATCAGCAGGTGTTTTATCTCAAAGGTGCTGTGCAGGTGCAGCAGGTGTGGGGTGTCCCGGGTGGGCTGTGGGAGAGCCGGGCCGGTGAGGTGCTGCTAGGCAGCAGGGGACTGGCCCAGTGCGACCTTAGCACTCAGGAGGCAGAGGCAGGAGGATCAGGTGTTCAGGGCCTTCTTCAGCTGTATATGAGTTTCTGTCCAACCTGGGCTACACGAGACCTACCCACGGCATAGCCTTGTCCACAGGCTCTGCTGGTTCCACCACTGCCCCTGGAACTGTCACGCTCAGTTACTCATCCGGGACGTGCATCTTCAGTTATTTATCTGGGAGGTGGACTCGCTGCTTCCTTCTCTCTCCTCTGGTTATGGATGTGAGTGTGCTGGGGCGTGGGCATGTCTGTGCGTACATGTCTGTGCGTACATGTCTGTGCGTACATGCGCGAGGAGCCTCAAGTTTACCACAGGAGTCTTTCTCGATCGCTCTCCACTTTATTTATCTAGCGGAGTCTTTCGCTGAACCCAGAGCTCAGCAGTTCTGGCTAGTCTAGCCAGCCCACCCACTCGGGGGGTCCCCATCTCTGCTTCCTAGGTGCTGGGGTAACGGGTGTCACCATGCCTGCCCGTGCTGTTGCCAGGCTTCTGGGGACACAAACTCCTGTCCTTGTGCTTGCTCAGCGAACGCCTCCTCTTTGGAGCCATCTCCCTCCCCCCTCCCCCGAATGTGTTTTATTTTCTATGGAAAACTGACACGTAGATGGGGTGCAGAGCAGCATGTGACGCCCCTCGTGTCCGTGTCCCATCGCCAACTCTGTGTTCGCCGCTCGGGGCCGGTCTTGTCTGCTCTTCCTCCCAGATCACATGTCTGTAAAAACTGGCAGCCATCCCCAAAGATGGGCTCAGCTCCTCACCAAGGGCGCCCCCACTGCGTGGAATGGTCAGCCTGGACGGACACTTCTCTGCTGCTCATCCCCGGGGTCACCGAAAGCTCCCCTTTGCTCTGGCAGTAAGATTCCCCACACAGTGTCGTTGCCCAAGCCGGACGCCCCGTGTCTTCCGCGGTGGCTCTGCTGTGTTTCCTTGTCCCTTGTGCCCGGTTTCTGGCTTGCCATTGTGCTTCAGAGCAGGAGCTGAGAGCCGCGGTCCCCTTTTGTGAACGGTGTATCCTCAAATGGCCCATCCGGACGGGGGCGGGGCACCACGTGGGTCAGGGGGAGCACCGACTGAAAGTCGGATCCGTTTCATTCCCAGCCTTGAGCACTTGTTCATTATTACACACAAACTGGGGGCACACCCATTGTTAAGTGTCTCACTCTTCAGCCATGGCAGCCGAAGCCCTGTTAATGTATTTTGTCTTTGGGGATAAATTGGGTTTGAGCTGCCCAAGAGGCAGTGTCCAGTGATTGCCTCCTTGTCAGGATTCAGGGGATGGTGTACCGTACAGTCTCCGTGGAGCTGCCTCACTGAGAAGCTCTGAAGTGTGCAGCTGTGGTCCCCAGGGTGTTTGCCAGCTGACTGAGTGATGGCGCACACTCCCCAAAGCTTGGGAACCCAGTGAGGGCCCAGCTACAGACTTTCCAGGCAGGCCTCTGTTGTGTGTTCATTCAAGGACACTGCCTTCCCTAGGCTTGTAGGAATGAAAACATTGCTTTGAGTGGTGTCATGTGACAAGGTAGTCCCTCCCCAAACTGCTAAGGAGTTAAGTTCTAGTTTGTTATTTATGTATTTACTGATGTTCTTTGGTTTGACAGAGACATGAGCACATGCTGTGTTTGGTTCTGGTCTGCATCAGGCAGGGCTGTCTCCCGGCCTTCTCCCGGCCGTCTCCCGGCTGTCTTACGTTGGCTGTAACAATACCTGATGAAAGACTGGAGGGAGAAAGTGATTGCTGACTCCTGGTTTGAGCGTGCCCATCGCGGTGGGAAAGGCATTGTGGTGGCAATGGGTTGCCTGGATGGCTTCAGGAGCGTGAGACTGCTTGCTCACATCCATGGACCAGGAAGGGGAGGGATGTATGTGTAGTCAGCTGCCTTCTCCTTTCCCCTTTTTTCCAGTCTGGACCCAGCCCATGGGCGTGTGCTGCCCACATTCAGGGCAGGTCTCATTGCCCAGTTAATCCATTTGGAAAAGTGTGCCACAGATATCTTTTGAATTTCATTTGTGATTTTGTATGTGAGTGCATGCACACACACACACACACACACATGCATGCTCGTATGTGGAAGTCAGAGAACAGCTTTGGGAGTTGGTTCTCTCTTTTCACAATGTGGGTCCTAGGGTTCGAACTTGGAATGTCAGCGTAGGCCACAACTGTCTTTACCTGCTGAGCCATCTGGCTGCCCCACCAGGTGCTTCTTAATCCAATCAAGTTGAGAACTGCAATTAAGCATCGCAAACTTAACTGGGGTTTGGTTTGGGCCCGTGGCTGAGGCTTCTGCCTCTGGCCTCTCTGCAGCTTGAGGCCCTGCTGATGGATGGGACCTGCTCGCTCACAGGCCAAGAGCCCAGGAGCACTTGCCTAGTCCACATCTGTTCCCCCTACCCAATCGTTGCCTGCTTGTAGCTCCCTCTGCTCTGTTGAGTCTGAGTCTTTGCTAAACACAGCTCACACTTCTCGTCTCCTTTTTTAGGTGAGATGGGATTTGTAGCCAGGGACTGCCCCGGAGGTCCTTCTGGGATGGGCCTGTGTTTGCAGAAGACGCCTGTTTGATTTTCTGCTTGGCCGCAGCTGAAGGGCTCTTCCTGTGGTTGACTCCGGTCCCTCACACTGCATCTTTCTTCTCTGTCACTCACTGCTCAGAATGCGTGTCTGCAGAGAGCGCCTTGGCATCCTCTGTTCACCCTCCCGATGCCACTTTTCTGAACCTGCTTCCCTTGAGAGCACCTTAGCTCCCTGGAGTCAGGAAAAGATGAGGACCCCTGGATCTGAGAGTCAGTCAGGTGACCAAGAGCCTGGGGCCCTGCCCCCCCTCCCCCCATGGCTGTGCAAACACATTGTGCCCGGCATTGTAGTAAGACTCTGTTTTTATGTGCATGGGTGGTGTGCTTGCCGGTGTGTATGTATGTTTACATATGTGTGCTCCTGTGTGTGGGGGCCTGAGATTGGTGTCTGGAGTCTTCCTTAATCATTTTCCACTTTATCCTTTGAGGCAGGGTTTCTCAAGCAAACCTGGAGCTTTCTCTCTTAGGGTTACTGTTGCTGTGATGAAACACCATGACCAAAAGCAACTTGGAGAAAAAAGGGTTGATTTGGCTTACACTTCCACATCACAGTTTATCATTGAAGGGAGTCAGGACAGGAACTCTAGCAGGCCAGGAACCTGGAGAGGGGAGCTGATACAGAGACTATGGAGGGGCGCTGCTTACTGGCTTGCTCTTTATGGGATCCTCAGCTTGCTTTCTTATAGAACCCAGAAACAAACCCTAGGGTGGCCCCACTCACAGTGGACTGACCCCCTACCCCCTACATCACTTACTAATTACGAAAATGCCCTACAGGCTGTGCCTACAGCCTGATCTTGAGTTATTTTCTCCACTGAGGCTTCCTTTGCTCAGGTGACTCTAGCTTGTGCCAAGTTGGCATAAGACTCGCCAGGACACTCACCAGGAGCTAACTTGCCAGTTTGCTCCTGGGATCTCAGCCTCCACATCCACCCTGCTTACATGGGATACTCTCGTCTCTGCAGCAGCCATCTCCCCAGATGCTGATTTTTACTTTCTGCCTTTTTAAGTTACAAATGTGGATTTTGACTGCTTCCTACTAGATTTATTCTGGGCATTTTGTTTTCCATGCTGTGGTTCTGCGTGCAATGTTTTCTCTCTTTTACGTCTAACGTAACTGCAGTGCTTGTGTGGACCGTCATTATTTTGAATAGGTGGCCAGCTCTGCATGCGGCACCTTCACGGACTGTGCCTTTTCCTAAGTTAGACTGTGTCTGGAGGACTGGAGTGGAGCAGCCGGTACCTGGGGCCCCTCGGTGACACCACAGCATGGGCAGAGCTTCAGGTTTCAAACACTCCTGTCATGATCTCTCACATCTGCTTTCTGTGGCTCTTTTGCCCACTCCCATCCTTGTGTGCACACACACGTGTGGGTTTCTCTGCTCACCCTCCTCCTGCCGTCTCCTCAGCCTCGTCCTCCTCTCCTGCTTCACTTCCCGTTCAGTTGTAACCTCTGAGTGAGAGTTCTCATCTCCTACGGCCCCCGACCACGATGGCCTCCTGCTCCCGTCTCCTGTGACCTGGCCAGGGATGAAGTTCTTGTTAGGTGCTGCT